ACTTTCGTGGGGTCTTGTTTGTGGATATTTGGTAAATACCCAAGAGTGGGATTGCTGCTGGGTCATAGTGGAGCTCAATGTTTATTCTCTTGAGGAAACTCCATCCTGCTTTCTAGAGTAGTTGAACAAGTTTACATTCCCACCAACAATGTAGTAGTGTTCCCTTTTGTCCACATGCCAGCTAGCATCTGTTATTATTTTAGATATGAGGTCCTTGTCTGTTGTATAGCTAGTAAGATCAGATACCCTAAAAATCTCACAGGAAGGGTTGGGGGAAGTATACATCTCCTTGGCACAGGTTGAAACTTCTTAAGATCCAGAAATAAAACAAATTAAAGATTGAATAATTGGGATTGCATTAAACGCAGAGTTTCTGCATGGAAAATGACATAAATAGCAAAATAACTAGATAGCCCATGCACTGGAAGAAGATATTATTATTATTATTATTATTGTGTGGGTTGTGGGGCCTGAAATCCAGGTCTGGGCATTGTCCCTCAGCTCTTCAGCTCAAGGAAAGTGCTTTACTGCTTGAGCCACAGTGCCACATCCAGGTTTTCTTTTTTCTGGTGGTTTATTGGAGATGAGAGTCTCAGGGACTTGCCTTCCTGGGCTGGCTTTGAGCCTCAATCCTCAGGTCTCAGCCTCCTGAGTAGCTAGGATTACAGGCGTGAGCTACTGGAACCCAGCTTGGGAGAAGATCTTTAATAGAAGATCTTTATAGACAAGAGTCTCAGATGCCCATTTTTACCTGCTGTTCTCTGCACTGACTGTTCAGGTATCTTCTCTCATCCTAACTCAGAGACTTGAGCTGGTATAGAGCACTTGGGTTTCTGTTTTAGCTCATTTGACATCCCTTATTCATGTTTGATCTGGCCTATTTTAAGCACAGCTACTTATAATTGAAGGACATAATGTCTCAGCATTTGCTTTATTATCACCATCCATTGCTGACAGTTCCATTAGAAGTGTGGTGGGTTTTTTTTTTCTCTCCTAGTTTATTTCTTTTACATCTTTCTACATTTAAAACATACATTGAAAAAACACTTAACAATACATGAAATGATAGTTCTGCAAAGTCATCTGCTGGTGGGTGCTCTCGGTTCCCTGGATGTAAAGTTTACTTTGTAAGCAGACAACTGTGAGCCAATATACAGGTTTAGTTAGCTTCACTTTAGTTTACATCACTGTCTAATGACCTCTGTTGCTGCACTTTTTCATTTTGTTTCCCTGGAGTTCAATAGCTTTCCCAACCCTCCACAAGATATACATATGAGTGCACCACACATATGTAAAAGCATTTGTTTTTAGTTAAAAGGTGAAGTAAGAAAGTGACTGCCTTTAATATTTCATAAGTTGCAGTGTTAGCATACATTTCTTCCAGAGCTGTTCTAATTTCCCTGTGTATATTTCACTGATTATTAGACATATATTATTTAAGTGTAATGTGTTTATGACTTATAGTTTTATATATTGATTTCCAGAAAATGTTTCTTGAGATTTGCTCTCAGTGTTTCAATCCTGGTAAATGCAACACCACAAAATAGCATTTAGGTTCAAATAATGCCATCGATGTGTGTGTTCCTGCAGACTTTTTGTCTGTTTTTTTCCTGTCAGTTAGCAGGAGTAGTATTACTTTTTCAAGAGAAATGATAGTTTAACATAATTATAATTCTATAGTTTTTTTGGGAGGGGGAGGGAGTCTTTGGGCTTGAACTCAGGGCCTCTACACTGTCCCTGAGCTTCTTTTGCTCAAGTATAGCACTCTAACACTTGAGCCACAGTGCTATTTCCAGGTTTGTTTGTTTTTTGTTTAGGTGGTACTGAAGAATCAAAACCAGGGCTTCATGCATGCCAAGCAAGCAACTCTACTCATAAGCCACATTCCAAGCCCTATATCTATTGCCCTTTTAAATTTTTTTGGTAGAATTAATTCAACTCAGGCCTTCATATTTGCCAAGCAAGTAAAATATTAATTGATCCATATGCTCGGTCCATATATTTATAATACAATTGTGTTTATATATGATATTTTATGCATTATGACTCATAAATATGGTGCTATAAGTTTTTCTTTCGTAAATCATTTTAGAGAGTATACAAAGTATATGTTCTATACATTTTTTACTTACCTACATATTTACCATTTTAATAACCTTGTCCTGTGTGTATATCTATCTTAGTGGGAGAGCCCAAAAATTCAAGCTGTGGGACCCTGAAAAGATTGGGAGTTTGGAATGCTTTCTCCCAGTACACTCTTGCAACACTGTGAGTTTCCTAGAAAGATCAATCAGTCCTGGCTTAAGAGAACACAGATTCCACACTAAACTGTATGGGAGGCTATGGGTAGACTTAGGTTTATGCAAATTGTAGGCTATTTACTGTTTAGCCCTCTTTCTCAGAATAAGAATGTCACATGTTGAAATTTATACCTTAATTCCTTGCACAAGCCCAATAAAAATTTTGGTTAATGGAACCTTGGGATCTGTTGTAGAAAGCTGCAGAAGGCTACAGGTTCCTTGGTACCCCAAACCTCAGGGTCTGGTCTCCATTATTGTGTTGCTCCTGGTCCCAGTTGACTAAGGAGCAGAAGGTGAGTTGCAATAATTGGCATCTTTTTGTTATTTTCTTGAAGTATAATTTCTTGTAACACTCTTAAAATGCAAATGTGTTATTAATGAATTATCTTTCTCTGAAAATATATTCAATCTACATTTTTAGAAGAGTTGCTTTGCCTAATGGGTTGTGAATTGAAAGTTATTTTCTTTCAAAACTTTACAGATATATTTCCTTTTGGTGTTTTACTCAGCATTCACTTCTGGTATTGTCAAACATGGCTGGATTGGATAGTATTGTTGGCCATTCTTCATCTGTAATGGGGTTCAAAATGGGAGTAAAAATGTCCCTTTTTAGCCTCTGCACAACAAATTAGTACTATATTTCAGTCTAACATAAAATTTCCTTCTATATTTTTAGATCACATCCCCCTTTATAGTTTTTTTTCTCTATCCTGCTTGAGGTAGTCATATTTCACATGTTTTGTTATCATAAATGTTACTTAAGCCTTTATCCATTTGCCTCCATCCTTCCATGAAGGCCTATTAAAATCCGGTCAAGAAATATTTTATTCCTCTACCCACCCATATTGTGTATAGTAGGATGTAAGCAGTGTTCACAAAAGTTTATGCTAGCAGTTCCTTTTTACATAGGAAGAGAGTATCAGTGTTTCTATGACCACAATCTCCAGAAATTTAATAACAAAAATGGTTAACAAGGATATTTTTATGTGGAAAATAAGTCAAATCATATAAGAGCCAAATCATCACCTCCTTTCTTGAGTACTGTTACTTACTTTAATATTCACCTGGTCACTGTGCTTTTTGTAGATCTACTAATGTGGTATGTATTTCATATGATGTCCTGAATATGTTCTAATCGCTGTGAGAGCACTTTTTTTTTGGGGGGGGGGGAATCCAGTCGTGGGGCCTGAACTCTGGGCCTGGGCGCTGTCCTTCAGCTCTTCAGCTCAAGGCTAGCACTCTACTACTTGAGCCACAGCGCCACTTCTGGCTTTTTTTTTTCTGCTTATGTGGTGCTGAGGAATTGAACCCAGGGCCTCATGCACACAAGGCAAGTGCTCTACCACTGAGCCACCTTCCCAGCCCCGTGAAAGCACTTTTTAATAGAAGATCTAAATAGGATTTTCAGTGAAGCTCAACATGAAAATGCAGGAAAAATTATTCATTGTTACCCTGATATATAGTAAATTTTATCAAAATAAGCTAAACATACTCTTTCAGACACCTACTTAGTCTTACTGATGTCATGCCAGATTGCAAGTGCTTTAGAATTGTTATATTATCTCTATTGCTAGCACCAGAAATATATACTGATGTATTAGGGAAACTTTGTATTAGTAATTACCAAGTTAGTATAGTGGCAATTATTTCTACTTTGATTTTTCTTTCTTTCACTGAGTAGACAACATTGCAAGCTCCAAATATTTTATGTAAGAGAAGAGCATCCATGTAAAAGAATGAAATTCCAGAATTGGTGCCCTTATAACTTCTGACTAATTACTTAATTACTTGATGGAAAAGTACCATTACAGAAGCTGGTGTCATTTGATGATGTGGCTGTGGACATCAGCTGGAAGGAGTGGCAGGAACTGGATATTTCTCAGAGGATCCTATATAGAGATGTAATGCTAGAGACCTACAGCAATCTGGTGTCCTTGAGTGAGCAACACTTAAATTAGCTACCAAGGTCAAGTGCTTGTTTTTTGTAAATATATGAGTATGTTATTAAGTTGTAAGATTCCAGTCCATGTGAAGTATCACTTCTTTCTAAGAAAAACTTTGATTTAATTATGTAACTCCTGAGGCAGTTTTATTCTTATTCTTCAAGAGGCCAAAACAGCAGTTTGAGAAAAGTTCTAAACTATGTTCCAGTAACAGGAGACTGTCTTCCCAAACTTGAGGTGATTGTTGCAGGTGGATATACAATCTAGAATAGAAATCTTATCACTATTGGAAGTATGATGTGGAATCCACTAATTTAAAATGTGCATTATAAACCAAGCCTGGCACTGGGTGCAATGGTTTATGCCTGTAATCCTAGCTACTCAAGAGAGTGAAATCTGAAGATTTTGGATTAAGGATAGCAAAGGCAAAAAAAAGTGCCCATGAGGATTTTATTTCCACTTACCACTCAGAAACTGGACATGGAGCTGGGACTCAAAACTGTTAGAATGATAGCTTTGAGCAAGAGTTGAGTTCAAGCCACACAACTGGCAAAATAATTCCAAACTTGGGGGAAAGGCAACCATGGAGCCAATGAAAAATGAGAAACAAGATTTAGTAGCAACCTTGTGAATAGGATGTCTGAGACTTTTTAAGAATGATGACCCAGCACAAGCAAAATTTTCCATATTTCTTATTTACAGGGCACTATGTTCCTCAACCTAAATTGATCATCAGCCTGAAGCAAGGTGCAGAATCATGGATAGGAGAAGCTTCAGACAAGAATTTCACAGGTGAGTTAAAATATCTTTCATAGTGATATTGGAGCCAGTTTGTAAATTCATCTTTCACTGTACAGAGCAATAATGTTCCTAGTTCCACTGAGTCCAGTGTGGCAGAGAACTAGGGGATCCTTTGTCTCAAAGACTTGTGAATCAAGAATTCATGTGGGGATAAAATGAATTCAGTGTGGTAGTAGATTAAGGTTTGGAATTGAAAGGGAAAAAGAAATTTAGAAACATAGGAAATGACATTTCATTTTCTTTGAAACTAGGACTATGCACGTATGATGCACGTATGCTAGGGCTGCTATCCTCCAATAAGAAAAATGGCTTATCAGTGGTGGTGGGCAAAGACTCAGATTCAGAACCAAAGCTTCTTGTCTAGATAGGATGATTATCTGGGTGTTAAACTGGAGTATCATTGGTCTTCCATGGTTCTGAGCAGTAGGAGTGTCAGAAAAGAAATTTGGATGAGACTTTTTGTAAGAGGGAGAGAAACAAATTTTAAAAATTCCCTCAAATACCTTAAGTAATTCTTAGTGAAAAGTTAGAACTGCACAGATGTAGCTATAAAACCGTACTCTCAAGAACCATTCCTGCTTAGATAAAAGGCAAAGGGATGTATAAAACACTCTTATTGGGCTGGGAGGTGGCTCAGTGGTAGAGCACTTGCCTTGCATGCATGAGGCCCTGGGTTCAATTCCTCAGCACCACATAAGCAGAAAAAAAAAAGCCAGAAGTGGTGCTATGGCTCAAGTGGTAGCACACTAGCCTTGAGCTGAAGAGCTGAGGGACAGAGCCCAGGCCCAGAGTTCAGGCCCCACGACTGGACTCAAAAACAAAACAACAACAACAAAAAACACTTTTATGGTCTCCAAAAATAGAAAATATTTCTGTACTTCACCTAATTGTTGAGAAGCAAAACAGCACAATATATAAATTATTTCTAGAAAATAAAAGAAAACCAAGCAGGTATTATGACCAAACAAAATAATATTTGAGAAAAACAACTTAAAGTCTACTAAAGGCAGATAATTAGTTCTCAGTATAAAACTCTCACAATTGAGAGTTTGAGTATTTCTTCTCACATAAAAAAAGAAAAGTCTAAAACAGAAAAACATTTTCTATTGTAAAATATTAGTATTGCTGTCTTAATATATTGGGAAAAAAGCATGTGTCTCTAATCTCTTAACATTTAGAATTGGAGAAAATGTCTTTACGTTTACATTAAGAAGTCTTTGGGGGGCTGGGAAGGTGGCTCAGTAGTAGAGTGCTTGCCTTGCATGCATGAGGCCCTGGGTTCGATTCCTCAGCACCACATAAGCAAAAAGCCAGAAGTGGCGCTGTGGCTCAAATGGTAGAGTGCTAGCCTTGAGCTGAAGAGCTGAGGGACAGCGCCCAGGCCCAGAGTTCAGGCCCCATGACTGCCCCCCCCCCCAAAAAAAAGGAAGTCTTTGGATTTCATTTATATTTTTGTCTTTTTCTCTGATTCACTTTAAGTGTCCAAGAAATGGAGGATATGATTAAGACCTGCCAGGTAAGTCCAGATGAATGTCTGTGTGAAGTAGCAGTCACAAATAGTAACAGTGGAGGAAAATGTGAGATTAGTAACAACTGCTATTATGAGCTCAAAACATAAGCCAGAGCTGATTAGAATTAATGGGAACTCCTTAGAGATGAGGATTCAGGAGTTTATTGTGTGCCAGAACATGCTTCTCTGTAGTGAGCCTGATAAGATGCATGCTGCATATAGGCTTGGTGTGTCTCCTGTAATTGAAGAATCCTTCAGATTTTCTGAGCATTTAACTGTATTTGTGTGTGTGTGTATGTGTGTGTGTGTGTGTGTGTCTTTCCTTTCTTGGTACTGGTGCTCGAACCCAGGACGTTACACTTGCTAGGCTAGTGCTTTACCACTGAGCTACATCCCAGCCCCTTTTCTGAGCATTTTAGTCAAAATGTTGAGAGTCCACATAAGCTGCAATATTTGGAAAATGGTAGAGAAGGAAGGGGTTAAACTTGGAGACCATATTTTTCATACACAATTGGGTTTTTGTGGGACAGCCCTCCTATAACCATTTGAATATAGAGAAGACTGAGATATAACTGCTTTCCTTTCTCCAGAAATACTTCATGGTGGAAGGAAAACACCTGAATGGACTGCATGTGGAAAAGCATTCTACTTAAGACCTACAGTTGCTATATATAAGGCAGAAAATATACAAGGCAGAGAATCCTTGTACAAGTAGTAAATATAAGAAATCTTTGAATAAAAAAATACACCTCACAAACCCTGAGAGCAAATAGCCAGAGGCTAAGTCCAATAAGAATATCCATTATGTAAAATCTATCTCTGAGAAGTCAGACCTGAGTTGCAAACTGAAAACACCTCCAGAAGAGAAATCCTATGAATATGAGGAATGTAGCACCTTTTCCACCCAGAGGTCGGCTCTCAGCAGGCAAAAGAGAACTCACACAGAAGTGAAACCTTATGAATGTAACAGATGTGGAAAGACCTTCAAGTGGGCATCACACCTCCATAGGCATAACAGACTTCACACAAGTGAGAAACCTTATGAATGTAATGAATGTGGAAAGTCTTTCACCCAGAAGACAAACCTTAATGTCCACCAGAGAACACACACAGGAGAGAAACCTTATGAATATAAGAAATGTGAAAAATCCTTCACCCAGAAGTCACATCTCAATACACATAGAAGAATTCAAACAGGTGAGAAACCTTATAAATGTAACAAATGTGGAAAGTCTTTCAGACGTGAGTCATACCTCACTGTGCATCAGATAACACACATAGAAGAAAATCCTTATTCTTGCAACAAATGTGAAAAGACCTTCAAGTGGTGGTCATACCTTGGCATGCATAACAGAATTCACACAGGTGAAAAACTTTACAAATGTAACAAATGTGTGAAAGTCTTTCAACAAAAAGACGCACTTTACTGTTCATCAGAGAAAACACACAGGAGAGAAACCTTATGATTGTAACGAATGTGGAATGTCTTTCACCAAAAAGGCAGAACTTACTGTTCATCAGAAAACACACACAGGAAAGAAACTTCATGAATGTAAGAAATGTAAAAAGTCTTTCACCTGGAAGTCACATCTCAATACACATATAAGATTTCACACAGGTGAGAAACCTTATGAATGTAACAAATATGGAAAGTCTTTCACACAGAAGTCATACCTCACTTTTCATCAGAGAACACACACAGGAGAGAAACCTTATGAATGCAACAAATGTGGAAAGACTTATTTGTAGGTCACAACTCGGCAAGCATAACAATTCACACAGGTGAGAAACCTTATGAATGTAAAAAATGTGGAAAGTGCTTCAACCAGAGTTCACACCTCAGCACACATAAGAGAATCCATACACATGAGAAACTTTAGGAGTGTAATGAATTTGGGAAGTCTTTCATCTGGAAGAAAACTCCACACAGATTAAAAGACTTACGAATGTTGCATATGTGCAGTTTTTCACCCAGAAGGCATAGCTTGAGGAACATCATTGAATACTCACAGGACAGAAATTTCATGAATGAAAAAAATGTGGAAAGATTTTCAAGAAGTCACATCTCAGTTTGCATCAGAAAACACACAGGAGAGAAGCCATATAAATGTAACAAATGTGGAAATTATTTTACCTGGAAGTCATACTTCAATTTTCATCAAAGAACTGGCTCACATAGGAGTAAGAAAATCAACAAATATGACAAATGTGCAATGACTTCTTCTTTTTTTTTTTGCCAGTCCTATGGCTGGAACTCAGGGCCTGGGCACTGTCCCTGGGCTTAATTTGCTCAAGGCTAGCACTCTACCACTTGAGCCACAGCACCACTGCTGGCTTTTTCTGTTTATGTGGTACTGAGGAAATCAAACCCAGGGCTTCGTGCATGCTAGGTAGGCACTCTACCACTAGGCCACATCCCCAGCCCCTAAGATGCCTTATTTATTTTTGTCAGTTGTGGGGCTTGACCTCTGGGCCTAGCTAGGAGCTGTCCCTTAGCTCTTCTGCTCAAGGCTAGCACTGTACCACTTGAACCACAGCACCACTTCCTATTTTTTTCTTTATTAAACATATTAAATTTTATTTCAATAACTAGTTTCATTTTTTCAGTAAGAGCTTTGGATAATTACTTTTTATCAGAGGTCAGAACACAATATAAGCTATCAAATACTGCAGTGACTAAAATTACTTGGGTATGCATTTAGAAAAGCCATGTTTAATAGACAAAAATTCTAGTATTATTGCTTAATAAGTATGACTTAACTCCTTGGGAACTCTTCAAAATAACCAGAATTTTTAGTTTGCACCAACTTGTTGACCACAAACGTGTTGAAACTTGTGATATCAGTACATGAGTCAAAAACTTAATAAAACCGAGTGCTATACATAAGTTAGCAGATTATCTTATGACATTTTAGCTTTACCACAGCTCTAGTTAGCATTTAAAAAAAACACAAAACGAACACTAAAATTGTAGTATTTGGCATTTTTGGTACAAGCTTTAAAAAAGTGTTACTCGGGGCTGGGAAGGTGGCTCAGTGGTAGAGCGCTTGCCTTGCATGCATGAGGCCCTGGGTTCGATTCCTAGCAACACATAAGCAAAAAGAAAAAAAAAGCCGCAAGTGGTGCTGTGGCTCAAGTGGTAGAGCCCTAGCCTTGAGCTGAAGAGCTGAGGGACAGCGCCCAGGCCCAGAGTTCAGGCCACACTACCGGACCCAAAAAAAAAAAAAAAAAAAAAGTATTACTCAACACCTCATCTAAGAAAATGGTGGTGTTCAAAAATACAAAAACTGTTACATCCAGTAGATATTTTACAGTCAAAATAATAAATCTTTTGGAAAAAATGCATAATATCTTCATAACTACCAGTTGTCTCAAAGACTAACAGAAAAATGCAGAAAAATAGATGTTCCCATTCATATCATTTTGCTCTGAAAAATCAGAAATTATTCAATTCGTTAGCAAAAATGATTTAAAAAATATGATTAATACACTGTATGTCTTGAAGCCAAAACAAACTTTACCTCAAAGAGCAATTTTGACTTGTACATTCCTAGTATCCTTGGTCTAGAAGAAGGCCCAATTTTAAGCCATTATTTAAATGGAGTGCATATGTAAATTCATCATTCTCCACAGGATGTTTGACTTCATTATATCACCTGCAAAATGGCAAATCATTAAGTCATTGATAAAGAATCTGTACTGCAAGTATTCCTTTTCTGAAATGCTTGGGACCAGAAGTGTTTTAGTTCAACATCATATTCATTGCCATTTCACATAGCCTAAAGGCAATTCCATACAATATTTTTAGGGTGTCTGTGTTTTGAATAAAACCCATTACAAGGTCAGGTCAAGTGCAGAATTTTCATTTGTAAATCATGTCTACACAAAAGTTTCAGATTTTGGAATATTTATGATTTTGTATTTTCAGATTAATACAATGTACTTATAATGTCAATAGCTGCCAACAAACTTTCACACACAAAACTAAACATGAATATTGAGATCAGAACATGAATCTTCTATATAATCAGATTTAATTTACTAAATAATCCTATGATGAAATCAAAACAATGAGCCCAAAGCTGCATAATTTTCCAAAAGATTCTCCTCTAGGTGCAGAGCTTGTTCACTCCATTCCTTTTTTAGTTGTTTAGCTTTTGCAATATTTTCTTGGTTTTTTGTTGGGGGAGGTTCCAGTTGTGGGGCCTGAACTCTGGGCCTGGGCACTGTCCCTCAGCTCTTCAGTTCAAGGCTAGCGCTCTACCACTTGAGCCACAGTGCCACTTCCAGCTTTTTTTTTTTTGCTTATGTGGTGCTGAGGAATGGAACCCAGGGCCTCAGGCATGCAAGGCAAGCACTCTACCACTGAGCCACCTTCCCAGCCCATCTTGTTTTTGTTTCTTATTTTGCTCCTCCTCTCTGGCTTCAATCATCTTGGTCAATTTCCAGGATGGGATGGCACCTGCTAGGAATAGTGTGGTGAGAGCCAAAATAACTGTTGTAAGAAAACCATAAGGGTCCTTTGCAGCCCATTCCACAACATACTCAGCCCAAGCCTTTATGTGAAACATCTTCATAGCCGTCTTAGGAAACAAGTTTGAATAGTAGTCTCTAGTCCTGATATTATCAGTGAGCCAATCACAATTTCCCCTGGTGGTCATCTTCTTTTGTTCTAACATACACTTCTGAGCAGTTTAAATTCACTAGACCAAGTAGGAAGGGCTGCAATGAAAGTCTTCAGTGAATCTGACAACAGACACAATAGAAACTGAGTATAATAAATGTAGAAAGACATTTAGCCAGAAGTCATATTCCAACTGGTATCAGAGACCTGGAGAAATGACAAAATTTCTGTAAATGAAAACATTAGAGAAAGTCTCAACCTGAAGTAACCTTCAGCAAGCCTTAGAAGACTCACATGGGAAAGAAACACAATGCAGAAAAATCTTTGTAGGAAACCTGTGAATTATACAGAAAAATCCTTAATGGCAAAGGTAAGTGAGTTCTAATGGGAAACCATTTTTTACACTCATTAAACCAACATTTCTCATCCTTTCCTTGTGTTGAATAGGGATGATGTAACTGAAGTTTATCCAAAAGATTTGGACACAAATAATGCGCATTAATTACTTACAACTTGTCAAGTAATTAAGATAGTAAAGTTGTTGACTTGTGTCTTTTATAATTAGGAATGGTTTTTCAACATATTTTATAAATTCTTCTCAGAAATAAGAGGTCCAGCCCTTTGAGACTGGAGTCAGATTATCTCAAGGTGGTTTGGGGAACAGTATCTGGGGAAAGACTGTTGTGATTTAAGCCAAGACCATGAGAGCATCAATTTCTCCATTGCTCCCCTAAAGTTTCCCACTGTATATGTGATCCATATGAAATAACAGAAATGATAAATTATTCCCAGTTCAGCTTTTGATTGGAAGATCTTTGTTACAAAATGCGCACAGGAGCCGGGCGCCGGTGGCTCACCCTGTAATCCTATCTACTCAGGAAGCTGAGATCTGAGCATCGCTGTTCAAAGCCAGCTGGGGCAGGAAAGTGCCTGAGACTCTTATCTCCAATTAACCACCAGAAAACCGGAAGTGGTGCTGTAGCTCAAGTGGTAGAGCACAAATCTTGAGCTGAAGAGCTGAGGGACAGCACTCAGGCCCAGAGTTCAAGCCCCATGACTGAACTCCCCCCCCCCCAAAAAAAAAATGTGCACAGGACTAAAATCTGTCTCATCACCTTTTGTCCCCAAGTTCGTGAAACATTCAGAAACATTCAAGTCCTCCATTTTGAACTCAAAGCCTCGGCATTGTCCTGAAGCATTTCTTTTTTTTAGTATTGAACCAATGGTTTATATTTGGCATCGCATTTCTCTTTCCTGAAGCATTTTTGCTCAATGCTAGTGCTACAGCTCCACTTCTGGTTTCTTTGGTGGGCAAATAAATACAAGAGTCTTAAGCATTTGGTTTAGGATGAGTAACCCCAAAATGACTGCAGTGCTTACTTTATATTGAATTAACCTCTGGTGATTCATTCTTATCCCATTCTGTTGTTCTGCTGAGTGAGTTATAATAAAACACCAGTGTGGATTAAGTGAAGAGCCTGTCTTTCTTCAGCTTCCTGAGGATAGTTGCCCCAAAACATAAGACATGGTTTTGTTAAACATAATGTGTGGTTAATATAAAAATTTAGAAATGTGGAAAAAATGAGGACTAAAGCTAGTTAGAAGATGGTTACAGAAATCCAAGGGATGAGAGAGACAAGTAGATAGAGGTAGAACTATGATAGAAATTTAGTGTAAAATTCAGATAAAAAGGGATCCTTGTCACTTTCTACCGCATAGGTAGGTATACATATAGTATTTTTATCTACAACATTATGTTCCATGTTTTCATTGTGCAGTGACTTCATATCCAACACCTGGAACACATATATTTCTTTGTGATGAGAAGAAGGCTGTCAGTTGCAATCTCTTGAAAGGCCAGACAGAGAAAGACATTGAACGATCTCACACAAAAATGGAAGCTAACAGAAATAGAACCAATTTGTGACAGAAGTTGAGAGTAGAATAGTTGTTACAAGAGACATGGAGAGATTGGTCTATGCCTTCAGAATTCTCTTTAGGATTTTGGTTGACTTCATCCTTTGGTCAAATTGACCCGAGAGGGAATGTGCTCTTGAAGATTGTGCTTAAACATTACAGAGTGGTTAGGTGGACAAACGCCTTCATAGAGAAGGAGGTCACGTAGGAAGAACAGATCAGAGAGAATGGTGACAGAAATCTCGGTTGGGGACTGATATCCTGGTGTTAAATCTAACATGGAAATAATACAATGTAGGGGCTGGGAAGGTGGCTCAGTGGTAGAGCGCTTGCCTTGCATGCATGAGGCCCTGGGTTCGATTCCTCAGCACCACATAAGCAAAAAGAAAAAGCCGGAAGTGGCGTTGTGCCTCAAGTGGTAGAGCGCTAGCCTTGAGCTGAAGAGCTGAGGGACAGCGCCCAGACCCAGAGTTCAGACCCACGACCAGACCCAAAAAAAAGAAAAAAAAGAAATAATACAATGTACAGATTACTCTCTGCCAAAGATCCACATTTGGAATTGTGGAAATGTTATCCCTGCCCAAGTTACTCAACTTGGTAAACCAAGAGAAAAGGCAGGTGGTCCCTAACTCTACTTTTATCTAGTTAAATAATTTGCAACTCCTAAATTTTTATTGTTTCCTGTAATCTGCACCCTGCCCTAAGGGAAGGAAAGAGCAAGAATTGAAAGTAAGAGATTTTTTTGTTTTGTTTTGGTCGGTCATGGGGCTTGAACTCTGGGCTTGGGCTCTGTCCCTGCACTCTTCAGCTCAAGGTGAGTTCCTTACCTCTTGAGCCACAGCGCCACTTCTGGTATTAGAGTGGTTTATTGGAGATAAGAGTCTCACAGACTTTCCTGCCTGGCCTGGCTTTGAACTCCGATCTTCATATCTCAGCCTTCTGAGTAGCTAGGATTACAGGCGTGAGCTACCGGCTCCCTGCTAAAGTAAGAGATTTTTGAACACTTGCTCAGATTCCCAACACTCCTGAGTGATTGTAATGAGAAAAGAATCTAATTGGGTCATAGAAACAGTTCCTTCAGATCTTGATTCCTCTTTATGATGTCATGGAATTCAGAGCCAAGAGCAAGTCTTAATCCCTTTCTTAAATCCAACTGCAACAAAGTGTTTCTGGGAAGACTGATGCTCTGGGAGATGGCCTGAGCCACAGAAAGATTCAACTCATGAACTATCTATGCCTACTGCCTCTACATTTCCATTCCTGACCAAATAGGTTAGCTTCTTCTAAACAGAGTTTCTTTGAAAGAGATGAGGGAGAGCTAACTAGTAACAATCTTCTCCCAACATCTCTGTGTCAAAGGCCTCTAGGGAGCCTTCATTATCCCAACTGTGAATAGTGTTATACTTGGCACACAAGAAGGCTTAAGAGCTTAGAACATCCTGAACCACTTGCCATTTGAAGTGTGTGTCAAGAATTCACTGATCTCCAGCTGATAAGCCCTGATGAGCAGTTAAATCTAATTAATGATGTAGTCCTCAAGTATTACTGAACTGATGCTTGAAGGATGGTGACAACTTAATGCTGATTACTGATCTGAGTCAAAGAACAAGGGGACTAGGTCAGCTGACAAGGTCAGTTATCTTTTTTCTCAGGTCCTGCTCACCAGCCAGTAAGTCTTGCCTTCACTAGGTGCTTCAAGACAATGGAGCAGAAATGGATCTCCCTTGTAGATAACCCAGTCACTGCCACAGTCCCTAAGTGACACAAACCACTCACTGAGGACCATACAAGCTATTTTCCCTCCATCACCCAGTGTGCACTGCAGTGTCCTGATGGCAACTACTCCTTGTCATCACTACACCACTAGCCACCTAACAGGGACTAAGTTATTAGTACTCTCTCAGTCACTGTACCCTGAAAACCCACTCCAAATTTCTGGATTTCCACATCTAATGTTCTCTATTTGGACATCTACATGGGAAAAAAAGTGATGTATAATCTGTGTTTGATGAAATTTTCTTACCATATTGACCTTTTTCTTCTGTTTGGGCTGATACTTAGCTTTCAACTTGCGATTCTTTAGTGTTCTTTGGCTTTTATGATCAGTCTTGGCACTCGACTCCTTGTGCCACATGGCAAATTCTGACATTGTTCTATTTAGTATCACAAGTCCCCTCACCTCTGGAAGGCAGTGTACACGTGCTCCCTGTTACCTTTTTTCTTCCAAGATGCTTATGAAATCTACATCAGAAAAACTACATTATTTAGAATTTTAAAAATTAGTTTCATAGTAGAATCTATAATAAAGATTGAATGCTTTAATGAATTTTGTAACATTTACAAATGTAGTTATTACGAATGTAACTGAAATAACTACATCATCTTGACTATTGAATTTAAAAAATAAGTTATATAATGTAAAAAAATGAGGAATATGGATTAACATTGAGCAGTCTCATGGGTAAAAGCAGCATTCAGAAACTATGTACATACCTACACAGCAGCATCTCAGATTTTTCCATCTCTCAGGACTTTGACAGGAAACAGAATGTCCCAACTATTCACAAATGTGAGTCTTGGCTCTGACTGAGAGTTGGAATAGAAGGCAAGACATGCCTCATTTCATCACATCACAACAGGTCACTATGGAATGTTCACATCATGGAATGTTCATGGAATTCCTGCCTGTGGCCAGTTCACCATGGATATATATGGAAAAACAATAAATCCCAGGAACACGTTATATTAATACCTGCATACGAAAACATTTTGAAATGACCAAAAATGAGCAGCTTTTGAAATGTACTTTCACTGATTGTGAAATTTTCAGTGTGAATTAAGCATAACAGGGATATGTAAAAAACAAACCTACTTTCTTAATTTGAAATATTGGATGGTAATTTACCAAGTTCTACTTTTCTTGAGTTTGATATAGTTCTAAAACAAAAAGATTGCAGTTCTTTCAAAGACAGACATATATACATATATGTATATATACATATACATATATAGATACATATACATACATATATATGGATACATCACACTGGAGAAATCAGATTACATTTCATTCATTTGAAATATTAAATTAGTGGTATGTA